TCTATGGGATGTCAAAACAGGATAATAAAAAGCCAAATTAGATGGTCATACTAGAGAAATTATGTCAGTCTGTTTCTCTCCTGATGGAAATACATTAGCTTCTGGTAGTGTAGATAACTCTATCCGTCTATGGGATGTCAAAACAGGAAAATAAAATGCCAAATTAGATGGTCATTAATATTAAGTAAACTCGGTCTGTTTCTCTCCTGATGCCATTTATCTTTGGAAGGGCAAAATAATTATTCTTTACATTAAAGATATATAGAAATTAAGGGTTAATTAGATAGTATGTCTTTTTTATAACAACTATTTAACATGAAGTGATGAAGATGGGTCTATTAACATCATTATAAGTTTGTCCAAAAAGGTTTTAGAGAAAGTTTTCCTATGATAAACCCTTTGGTCTTATAAAGTAAAAAACCTAATAGCAACTAAAAATCTTTTTTCCCCCAGTGTCATTTGGGGCCCAGCCCCAAACGACGCCGAAGCCAAGGGGCCTTTGGCATCTGCTGAGGAGGGCGGGTGGGTAGGAGATGTGGTGGATGATGCGAAGCGAGGTAAAAATATACATTCTTTTACATAGGAAGCATAGGTACATAGGGGGTTGCCAAACCCCCTATGCCACTGGAGGTTATAAAGAAGAGTAGTAGCAAGGTATATTAGTGAATAATTATTTTCTAAAATAAATAAATAATCACATAAATTTACATGAGGACAATGAATTTTATCATTAATTTTGTACTTTTAGTATATTTAGTTATTACTACAAATTTATCATCCAATTTAATTATATAGGGGTTTATCTCATTTTTAAAGAGATGAATAATTTCGTTTTTTTCTTTAGATTTAATATTGCGAATAAGTAAAATTTAACCAGTAAATGAGTTTTAAAGTCTTAAGAAATATTATTTTGGTTTAGATATTAATTAATTTCGTGAAAATCCTCTTGAAGCTAGCAATAATTATATAGTCCTGACTCTTAATAAAGCTGTGTACATAAACTCAGTGATTTATAAATGTTTATTATTTGAAGTATGTGAAAATTGCAAGTTAGAGAAGATATAATTATCTTCGTAAATCTTAATACTTTCTATGATATCGTATTTCTTGATAATTAATTAATCTTTTCAGTCTTTTATAAAATCTAATACATTTCATAACAATTGAAGAATAATAATCAAAGGTGATTGGTACATTACTTTCAATATGAAATATCATCTAATCTAATTGTTTTACTTTATCATTTTAATATTAAGTTTATTTTTTTTAAATATTCTTGATGTATCTTTTTATCTTATATAAAATATCTTTTACTATTATTGAACTAATATCACAAAATTATTAATTATTTTTTTAAGACTAATCCCTTTTGTAAATATTAATAAATAAAGTAAATCTATCATATTATATCCTAGATGATTTAAAAAGAATGTTGTGTAAAATTAGTTGTCTTTAAGTAATTATATCGATCTTTATTTTAAACTCTTCATTTACTGTTCTCTGTTTAGATTATTAATTTAAAGTAGTATCATATAAGTTTAAATCAATATAAATATTAATTGATAACAAAAAGTACATCTTCGCTTTTTTACAATACACTCCCAATACTTTTTTTTTAAATTGATAAAATATTTTATGACCACTATTTCCCCAATGAGAAGTGACAACCTATAACTGAGGGGTCATACTAAGGTTTGGACATAAATATAAAATCTAACATAAAACAGCTATTACACATAAGACATATAGCCGAAAAATTAAAGATAATCAAGAAAAACTGATTAGTTAATCATAGAACTCAATTTTAATATAAATTCAATTTTTCATATAAAATATAAATATTCTATATAATTAAAAAATCAAGTAATGCAGATATTGAAATGAATTCTCAATAACATAATTAACATCTACTATAATCAATTCCAAATCTACACAAAGTCCTAACTTCTATTTTACAGAAATACACAAGATACTTTTTTCCATTTTGTAGTATATAAATGAAAGTTAGAGTAATAGAAATTCAATATTAAAAATAATGAATTGCACCTATCATATCAAAAGTCCAATATCTTTGATATGTATAGCTCCTCATAAGTGCTAATGCTAAAGGAAACTTTGTGTTGAATGCCTATATGGACATGGAGTGGATTTGAAATATACAGTTCCTATTGGAATATTTTAAGAAATGGCAATGAAGAAATTAAAAGACTTCAACCTTAATGATACAACTGAGTTAACCAAATAGAGAGTGGCCTTTAAAGCCTTGCTCGCTCAAACAGAATAAATGATGAAGAAAATTTGGGAAGAATTGTCACAATCTATCAAATAAGTATACGATTAGATTGAAAAGGAAAACTAATCATACTTAAACCTCATTAATGAAAACACCAATCTAGCTGAATCCTCTTACACTGATATAGAAAAATTAGTAAACATTGTAGAAGGATCGACTTTAAATGATTGGAATGTGGAGAAGAATTCTTATATGAAGTAGTTAGATAAGACCAAGAGCTGGTGGGACCAACATATAACATCTTTTATTGAGAAGTCTAACTAAGGAATCCAATAGATCCAATCATTAATTAAGTAAGTATTTATTTATTATTGTAGAATTTCACCTAATCAAGAAGAAGAATCACAAGAAGTAGATTAAATGAAGGAAGATTTATATGAGATGCTAACCTACATTTAGGATATAGATGAATCTTTATATTAGAAGATTCTTGATATACTTAGAAAAGGGAAAGTTTCAGATGTTATTGGATTCCTGTCGAAGACAAACAATAATCAGTTTTATGAATCTTTAAACTACAAGTAAGAGAATATTAGGGAGATCAAGAAGTAAGTAAAGAAAATAACTAATTTCTTGAGGAATATTTAGAATCATAAATTTAATAAAGATGACTATTCTCAAGAAACATATGAAAAGGAAAGAGCGGATCTGGTCAATATGATTAAGGATAACAAAAGGATCACAGAATTCATCAAATTTTTAGTACGAATAACAAGCATAGATGTAAATTTTATTCAATCAGGATCAAATGGACTTAGTTTATTAGTG